AAAAAAAAAAAAAAAAAAAATAGAAAGAAATAAATGGATATCTGGCTATTCTGATGATGGAAGTTTGTATTATGCGGGTAGTGATCTGTGGTAAGTTGATCAATAACTATAGGGCTGGCAGTCCCTAGACACACAGCAGGCTGGGCGGCAGCTGGGCTGGCAGCAGCTGGATCCACAGGTCTGGTCTAGGCAACCAGGCAGGAAGGCACACATGGGCTGGTAGCAGGTTCTCCTGCAGTACATGGGTGCACAGGAGCTGGGTTGGTAGCAGCTGGACCCACTGCCAGTTTGGCCATAACAGCTGGAGCTGCAGTAGGTGAGCTGGCAGCAGGGTGTGCTACAGCAGCTGGTCACACAGGCTGGTTGGCAGCAGGTGGTCCTGCAGCAGGTGGTCACACAGCAGGCTGGGCAGCAGGAGGGCTGGCAGCATCTGGATCCACAGCACTCGTTTAGGCAATCAGGCAGGCAGACACACGTGGGGTGGTAGCAGGTTATCCAGCAGTAGACAGGTGTACAGCAGCTAGGTCGACAGCAGGATGTATTGCAGCAACTGGGGCAGCAGCAAGACTGGCAGCAGCTGGACATGCAGCAGATGGGTTGGCAGCAGGTGGCCCTGAAGCAAGTCATAGGCTGGCAGCAAGGGGAGCAGCAGTGGGTAATGGTGTCAGGGGTGGAGAGTGGGTTCCTGTTCAGAGGTGAGTTTTCTAGAGCTTGATAACTCTATTCAATCTGAACGTTTTAGACATGGTACCCCAAAGTTTGGACCAATGAGCAGAACTTGTCTTTGATATTGTTTATGTGAATTTCTCTAGTCCATTGGGAAATGTTCCAGAGAGGAAGTTGTCTCTTCAGTGCTGTGAATTTTCTTTGAATAATTGATTTGTTTGCTTTTTTAATTGACAAATAACCATCAGAACTATTTTCCTGAACTGAGAAATGAATCATTCTCCCTATCAATTAAGCACTGATCCTCATTTTAAAAGCTAAGTACAGTATTTGGTCATCTAACAGATTCTATGTAGCTTGGTGAGATGTCAGGACCATTGTTAGTCACCATCTATTTTTCCTTATTGCTGTTTACTTTGGGAAGCACCTTTGAAATAGAAATGATGTTGAATCATGGTGATGACTTAAAAATCAAGTTTAGGGAGGCTTCTGATGCCACCTGCAATGTAGAAGCTAGCATAAGACTTATCTTCCTGCTATAAACAATAATAAAAGCTTTGTAAATATATGAAACAACTGTTTGCAGATATTAGATGACAGTGAGCTTTGTGTTATGGTTCTTGAAGGAAGATACATGGTGGGGGGGGGGAAGAAACAGATGGGTTTGTATATTTTCAAAATTGCAATGCCAGAAGAAATAGAGTCCGTATAGGGAGCAAGAAGAGAGAGACAAGCATTGAAGGAGTTTATCATAATTGCTTCTCTCAGTCTGAAATGTGATTTTGGATAGTTAAATTTTCTAAAGCTTGACCCAGGTAAAATTATCAATTATTTCTTTTAAAATAATACTATTTTTGTCTTGGTCAGGAGGTATTTATCTACCTAAAAATAAAAAATTTTCACATACATTATCTAGTTAGGGTTTTAAGATTTTTTTTTGGCCTTCAAGCTATTAATACACCTGGAATTGATTTTTTTTTCGTACATGATAAGTGATCGGAATCCAAGTTCATCTTTTCCATGGAACATTCTCAGCTTTATTGATGGATATGTTCTCATTTTCATCCAGGGTATTATTTATTTGTGTCTTCTTTATATATCTTGATCAATCTTGTCAGTGGTTTATCATTTATTAGTATTTTTTTTTTTTAGAAAAAGAAACAAATTTTGGCTTTGTTCATATTCTCTGTGATATCTTTGTTAACTAGTTCATCAATTTACATCTTATGTTTTTTGGCTGTTTTTCTTTTTCTTATTCACTAAGATGTACACTTAGTTCATTTATTGTTAGGTTTTATTCTTGTTTAATATTTAAATATTAAAGGCTACTTAAAGTGTATACATTTTATCACAGACCATTTTCATAGCACCCCACAAGTCTTGATATGTAATATTTTCATTATAATCCAGTGACACTTTTTTTCCTTTACATTGTAGATTCTTCCGTTTTGGTCTTCCAAGTCAGTATATCCTCTGTAATTTATCTCACTTATTGTGTACTTTAATGACTATATGCTCTGTTATTACTTTTGTATCTAATATTATGCTTGGTTGTGTCTCCTCCCCATCATACATGTTTATTTTTATTAATTTTTCATTTTTGAAATAATTTCATACTCTTAGAAAGTTGTAAACATAGTACAAAGGATTCCCATATGCCTTCACTAGATTCCTCAAATGTTAACATTTTACCATGCCTCTTTAACATTATTTCTATACATATAAGCGTTACTACTGTTGGTTTTTAAGAGTAAGTTGCAGTTAGAATTTCCTTTTATCACTAAATTCCGCTTTATCCCTACGTACTTCAGTGTGTGTTTCTTTGGTCACAGCCCAATGATTAAAACCAAAATCTTAACACTCATGCAGGATATTGTCTCTGGTTGGTTCTTACTCAGGTTGTGTTTTTTTTTTCTCTGTATTTGTCTATATTGATAATAGCTTCCCTTATGTCAAAATGTATTTATTATGTTTAGTTAAAACCCAGTTGAAGATTTGCAGACCGGGAAGATGGAGTGGGTATACTTTTCCACATTCTTCCTCCTAAGTACAACTACAAATTCTGGATATTATACATAAAGCAAACACAAGAGGACTCTGAAAGGTGGAGTGAAGAAAGAAGCCAGGCTAGAAAGCTCAGGGCTTAAGGAACAAGAAGTCTGGGTTTTCTTTTTGCTGCAAGTACTCTAGACATGGAGCCTGAGAAGCCTGCAACTCTGAAACTCTAATGGACGCGCGCGCGCACACACACACACACACACACACACACACACACACACAGTTCCAATAAACACCTATCTCTACCTAAAGGGTCAGAAAAGAGGTAGCTTGGCAAGAAGAAAAAATTTAGACGCTAACTGCTCTGCTCCGGAAGCAACTATGGCTTCACTGCCAATCATCCCAGTAAAAGCCGGGTGGGGACTAGACTTCCTTCCCTGAGAAGCTGTAATGAGTTTCCCCAACACTCCCACTGGGATAGTGAAAGAGAAGGCCAAGTAGGGCTGTGAAACTTTAATCTCTGCCAGTCAGTAATGACCCCCATCCCCAAAACACATAGACGCAGAGTGTCAGTGGAGACCATGTGGAGGGCCAGAGCTCTCATCTCTGCTCAGCAGTAATGAGGTGCTTCCCCACCTTGCTTGCCAGAACAGGGGGAATCGGGGAACTGATCTACTTTCATGTGACAGTAATGAGGCAGCCTCTATTCCCCATTCTCTCGCTAGAACAATGTAGCCAGCCAAAACAAAAGATTACATAAAATCCAGCCAAAACAAAAGATTACATAAAAAAGAGTTTCATAACATAATACAAATAGGGACAGGTACTAATAAAAAATCACTTAACACATAAAAACCAGGAGATATGTAACTGGATGAAAAAGACAATCATAAATGCCAATGTTGAGATGCCAGATATGTTACAATTATCTGACAAATATTTTAAAGCAATCATGATAAAAATAAATCAATAAGGCCAGGCATGGTGGCTCACACCTGTAATCCCAGCACTTTGGGAGGCTGAGGCGGGTGGATCATGAGGTCAAGAGATAAAGACTATCCTGGCCAACATGGTGAAACCCTGTCTCTACTAAAAATACAAAAATTAGCCAGTGTGGTGGCACACGCCTGTAATCCCAGCTACTCTGGAGGCTGAGGCAGGAGAATCGCTTCAACCCAGGAGGTGGAGGTTGCAGTGAGCCGAGATCACGCCACTGCACTCCAGGCTGGCGACAGAGCAAGACTTCGTCTAAAAAAAAGTCAATGAACAAAACATAGAGTGTATGTTTAAAATATACTTTAAAAAATGAAAGAGTAGAAAGTATCAAAAAGAAATAAAAGATATAATAAATAACTATATTGAATATCTATATGTAAATTTTGGAACTAAAAAATGCGATAACCAAAATAAAAACCTCAGTTGATGGCTCAATAGCAGAATGGAGATAAAAGAAAAGTATCAGTGAACTAGAAAATAAAACATTAGAAAATGTCCAACCCAAACAACAGAGAAAATATACTGAAGAAAAATTAAAAATTTAACAGAGCTTAAGGGACCTGTGGGACTAAAATAAAAGATGTAATATTCATCTCCCCAGAGTCCCAGAAGGAAAGCTGAAAAAGGGCAGGGCTGAAAAAGTGTTCAAAAGCAACATAGTTGAAAATCTCCCCAATTTAGCAAGAGACATAAACCTACAAATTCAACAAGGTAAGAAAATCCCAAATAGGATAAGCTCAAAGAAATTTGTGCAAACACACATAGTAGTTAACTTATGAAAAGTAAAGATAAAGTTGTAAATGCAATCAGAGAAAGAAACACCTTACCTTTAGAGGAAAACAATTAAAATTGCAGTGGATTTTTCATTATTTTTTTAAGTGTTGAAATAAAAGAACTATAAGCACAGAATCTTTTACCTGGTGAAAATATACGTCAGGAATGAAACATTCTCAGGAGAAAGAAAACAAAGATAATTTGTTGCTAGCAGGCTTATTCCAAAATATAGCTAAAGGAAATTCTATAAACAGAAAGGAAATGATAAAATAAGGACCTTGGAACATCAGAAAGGAAGAAAAATCACAGTAAGTAAAAATATGGGTAAGTATAGTAAACTTTCCTTCTCCTCTTGTGTTTTCTAAATCATTTTCACTTTGACAGCTAAAGTGAAAATTATAACACTGAGTGGTTCTAAATAAATGTAGTGCAAATATTTAAGAGAGAAACAGAGTAAAGTAAAGGGACATAAATGAAGTTAAGGTTTCTATACCTCAGTAGAACTGGTAAAAAAAAAAAAACAACACTAGTAAATGGTGATAAGTTGTATATACATATAAAATAACATCTACAGAAACAAATTTAAAAAGCTAAGCAAAGAGGTACCCTAAAAAACACTATAGATAAATCAAAATAGAGTTCTAAAAATGTTCAGTAAGCACACAGAAGTCAAAAAAATAGAGTACCAAAAGAAAAAAAAAACAGAGCAAACATAAAACAAAAATACAAAATGGCAGACTTGTGCTCTAATATGAATAATTACATTAAATGTCAATGGTTTAAATAAACCAATTTAAAGACAGATTGGCAGACTGTGTCAAAAAATATGTCCCAACCATATGCAATCTAAAAGAAACTCATTTTAAACATAATGATATAGGCAGGTTGAAATTAAAAAGATGGAAATTAAAATAAAATGTCATTTACAATCTCTGTAAAACATACTTAGGCATAAATTTAAAAAACATGTACAGGACTTATCACAGCAAAATTTAAAAAATAGATATCAATAAGATTTTTCCAAAATGTGTATAGAAAGACAAAAGAACTAGAATAGCTAAAACAATTTCAAAGAATAATGTGAAAGGAATCAATCTATTTAATTTCAAGATTTATGATGTAGCTACAGTAATCAAGGCTGTGTGATACTGGGGGAGGAATGGACAGCTAAATGAATGGATTGAAAAAAAGAACCTAGAAATAGACCTAAACAAATACAGTTGATGGGTTTGAACTGCACAGTTCCACCTATATGTGGATTTTCTGCTTCTGCCACTAATGAGACAGCAAGACCAACCCCTCCTGTTCCTCCTCCTCCGCAGCCTACTTGACATGAAGACAACCAGGATGAACACTTTTATGGTGATCCACTTCCACTTAATTAAGAGTAAATACATTTTCTCTTTCTTAATTTTTTTAATAGCATTTTCTTTTCTTCAACTTACTTTATTATAAAAATACAATATATAATACATATAACATACAAAATATGTGTTAATTGACTGTTCATTTTATTGGTAAATCTTCCAATCAACAGTAGGGTGTAAGTAGTTAAGTTTTGGGGGAGTCAAAAGTTACATGCAGATTTCTAGCTCTGTGGAGGTTTGCTGCTCCTAACCCTTGCATTGTTTAAGGGTTGACTGTATCCCTAACCAATTTTTGATAAATGTAAACCAACAATCAATGGAGGAAAGCTATCTCTTTAAACAAATTTTTCTAGAGCAATTAGACATCCAGAGGGGAAAAAACCCTGAAAATTAACTCAAAATGAATTACAAACTTAAATATAAAATGTAAAATTATAAAACTTTTAGAAAAAAATAGGAGAAAATCTTTAGCACGTAATATCCAAAAGTTCTTAGGTAGCACTGAAAACATGATCCATTAAAGAAAAATTAATAAATTGATTTCTAAAAATTATGTTCTGGCTAGATGTGGTGGCTCATGCCTGTAATCCTAGCACTTTGGGAAGCCAGGGCAGGCAGATCATGAGATCAGGAGTGTGAGACTAACATGGTGAAACCCTGTCTCTACTAAAAGTAAAATAAAAAAAAAATTAGCCAGGCATGGTGGCGGGGGGAAGGAGGGTGGCTCCTGTAATCCCAGCTACTAGCGAGGCTGAGGCAGGAGAATCACTTGAAACCAGAAGGCGGACGTTGCAGTGAGCAGAGATGATACCACTGCACTCCAGTCTGGGTGAAAGAACAAAACTCCGTCTAAAAAGAAAAAAATTATGTTCTGTAAAAGAATGAAAAGACAAGCTGCAAACTATACATGATACATATTTGCAAATCACATGTTTGACAAAGAACTAGAATCTAGAATATATAACTTTAAAAACTGAACAGTTAGAAAACAAACAGTAAAAGTACAGCATGAGCAAAAGACATGAAGAAATATTTCATGGAAGAAGATATACCGATGACGAATAAGCATGTGAAAAGATGTTCAACGTCATTAGCCCTTAGGGAAATGCAAACTAAAACCACGCTGAGCTAGCACACCTATCAGAACGGCTGAAATAAATGCTGGTGAGTGTGCAAAGAAACAAAAACACTTATACATATAAAATGGTGCAGACACTCTGGAAAACAGTTGACGCTGTTATTTAAAAATTCAACATGCTGGCCAGGCAAGGTGGCTCATGCCTGTAATCCCAGCACTTTGGAATCTGAGGCAGACAGATCACTTGAGATCAGGGATTCAAGACCAGCCTGGCCAACAGGGTAAAACCCCGTCTCTACTAAAAACACAAAAAATTAGCTGGGCATGGTGGTGCATGCCTGCAATCCCAGCTATTTGGGAGGCTGAGGTGGGAGAATCTTCGGAACCTGGGAGGTGGAGGTTGCAGTGAGCCCAAATCATGCCACTGCACTCCAGCCTGGGTGACAGAGTGAGACTCTTAAAAAAAATAATTAAACATGCAATTACCATACAACTCAGTAATTGTACTTGCTCACACAAAACTTTGTACATGAATGTTTATGGCTGTTTTGTAATGGTTTGAAACAGGAAGCAACCCAGAAATCCTTCAACATGTGGTCAAACTCTGGTAGATACATACCAGAGAATACTTCTCAGCAACAAAAAGGAAAAACTGTTCAAAAATCTGTTTCAATTTTCAGGGAATTATACTGTGTTGATAAAACCCATCTCAGAATGTTAAGTACTGTATGATGCCTTTTACAATCCTTGGTTGCCAGGTGTTAAGAAAGGAGCGGGTGTGGGAGGGAGGTGAGTGTGGCTATAAAAGAACAATGGAAAGATCGTTGTGGTGACAGAAATGTGTTGTACATTGGCTATGTCAATATCAGCATGATATGCTGGTGATGATGTTTTTCGGCAGTTTTGGGAGATGTTACTATTGGGGAAAACTGGGCAAAGAGTATATGGATTTCTTGTATCACATCTTACAACTGCATGCAAATCTCTGTTCTTTTAAAATAAAAGCTTTAATTATAAATTCAATTTAAGACAAGAAGAAATGTTTTTGTTTGTTTGTTTGGTTTTTTTTTTTTTTTTTTGAGGCTGAATCTTGCTCTGTCGCCCAGACTGGAGTGCAGTGGCACAATCTCAGCTCACTGCAACCTCCACCCCCCTGGTTCAAGCAATTCCCCTACCTCACCCTCCCGAGTAGCTGGGATTGAAGGTGCATGCCACCACGGCTGGCTAATTTTTTTGTGTTTTTAGTAGAGATGGGGTGGGGATGTTCACCATGTTGGCCAAACTGGTCTTGAATTCCTGATCTCAGGTAATCCACCTGCCTTGGCCTCCCAAAGTGCTGGGATTATAGGCATGAGCCACCGCACCCAGCTGAAAGAGTTTTAAGAAGCATTTTATCTTTAAAAGGCAGAAGAACATGGGTTTTGGAGGTTGGTCAAACATCTGACCACTTCCACTGTTACCATGAGATCATGCATCAGATAGAGCTGAGCAGTTTCTTCTTTTCTTTTTTTTTAAATTGTATTTCCATAAGTTTTTGGGGAACAGGTGGTATTTGGTTGCGTGAGTATGTTGTTTAGTGGTGATTTGTGAGATTTTGGTGCACCCATCACCCAAGTAGTATATACTGAACCCAATTTGTAGTCTTTTATCCCTCACCCCCTCCCATCTTTTCCCGAGTCCCCAAAGACCATTGTATCATTCTTACACCTTTGCATTCTCATAGCTTAGTTCCCACTTACAAGATTTTAGGTTTGTTTTTCCATTCCTGAGTTCCTTCACTTAAAATAATAGTCTCCAATTTCATCCAGATTGCTGTGAGTGCCATTAATTCATTCATTTTAATGGCTGAGTAATATTCCATCATATATACAACCGTTTCTTTATCCACTCTTTGACAGATGGCTATCTGGGCTGGTTCCATATTTTTGCAGTTGTGAATTGTGCTGCTATAAACATGCATGTGCAAGTATCTTCTTCGTATAATGAGTTCTTTTCCTCTAGGTAGATAACCAGTATTAGGATTGCTAGATCAAGTTGTAGTTCTACTTTTTGTTCTTTAAGGAATCTCCACACTGTTTTCCACAGTGCTTGTATTAGTTTAGATTCCCACCATAAGAAGCTTCTTAAATTAAAAAAAAAAAATCCTAACTTCCTGATGAATCTGGTTTCATAGTATCTGTACTCCATTCTGAGGGGACTTCAGATGTTGGCATGACTTTACTTCAGTATGTGTTTTAAAAAGGAAAGAAAAGTATGTGATAATATATGTGTGTATCTCTTGCCTCCCAATTTTCTCCATTGATCTGTATCTCTCATTTTACCAGGACTTCCCCCAAACAGCTTTGTTTTGGAAAGCAGAAAAATGTTGTATTATTTGTGCAACACATGCACGTTGCTTTAACTTCCTCAACACTGATTTCCTCAGCTTGAATGTGGAGCCACTAATACATACCTTTTGGGATTGTATGGGAATGAGAGAGAGTGTGGATGAAACAACTACCTCAATACTTAGTGTATAGCAGGGTCTCAGTAAATGTCAGTAACTCACCCATTCATTCCCCCTGTTGGAAAGTTTAATAACCTGGCAGAGAATTCCAGATACATCCTCTAGGAAGATCATACATCTGTCACATCTAGTGGTTAACTCACCGAAAGCACCTTTATGTCCTCTAAAGAAGGTGGCCACAGTCAAAACCTTTAAGTGTCATCCCAAAGCTGAATTAGACCTTATACTGCTGTGTCCCTTGGTTATTCTCTTCTTTACTCAGTTTCTCATCAGGTTCCTCCATTTGGGAACCAGCCTAATGCCCCTCTTGACTTTAAATAGTACATAATTTCCTCTCATTTTCTTCTTTCTACAATTTCTCCCTTTTTTTCTGAAAACTCTGATTTTGACTTCCTTTAGCACAATTGTCTTTTTTGTCTTCTTTATTTCACAGAACAAAGGAAGTTATTTTGTTTCCTTTTATGGTCCAGAGATTATGATTAGATCAAAGGACATAAGTCCATTGCATGGTAACCTTAATTCTTAGGACTCTGTACAAATTTATCTTCCCTTAACAAAGTTCATGTTAGGAAACAAAATTGCCCCAAAGTTTGGGAACCCAGGAAGCACGGTGCAATCTTGTGTGCTTTGCAAAGGTAATTCTTAATCCTAATTTCTGTTAAGATGAATGAAATGATACCCAGATGCTCAACCATGACAGCAAAGAGGAGGTTCCTCTTGGTGAGGGTAGGGCCAGGAACACCCGTTGTGCTCACACTAGTTGTTGGTGACAGATTCTTCAGTGGTGGGTCATAATCCAGAGATGCAAACCTCTTTCCATGGACTAGAACTCTTTTTAAAAATTTTGTTTATTTTTATTTTTTATTTTACTTGAAGTTCTGGGATACATGTGCAGAATATGCAGGTTTGTTACATAGGTATACATGTGCCATGGTGGTTTGCTGCACCTATCAACCCGTCGTCTAGGTTTTATGCCTCACATGCATTATGCGTTTGTCCTAATGTTCTACCTCTCCTTGTCCCCAACCCTTGACAGGCCCTGGTGTGTGATGTTCCCCTTACTGTGTCCATGTGTTCTCACTGTTCAACTCCCACTTATGAGTGAGAACATGCCATGTTTGGTTTTCTGCTCCTATGTTAGTTTACTGAGAATGATGACTTCCAGCTTCATCCATGTTCCTGCAAAGAACATGATCTCATTCTTTTTTATGGCTGCATAGTATTCCATGCATATGTGCCACATTTACAGAAATTACAGTATTCCTGTGTATGTGCCACATTTTCCCTGTCCAGTCTATCACTGATGGACATTTGGGTTCGTTCTAAGTCTTTGCTATTGTAAATTGTGCTGCAACAAGCATACATGTGGAGGTGTCTTTATAGTAGAATGGTTTATAATCCTTCCAGTATACACCCAGTAATGGGATTGCTGGATCAAATGGTATTTCTAGTTCTAGATCTTTGAGGAACAGCCATACTATCTTCCACAGTGGTTAAACTAACTTACACTCCGACCAACAGTGTAAAAGCATTCCTAGAGTTCTTAAAGGTGTCTCTAATGGTAGTAGAGGGGGAGAGTATCTGCTTCATAGATAGAAAAGTGTTTGCTTGAGAAGTGACTTAGAATGTCTTTCCTGCACTCAATCATCACTGTTGCATACATCTGTAGAAAAATGTTTTAAAAAGCAAAAGATCAAAGGACCTGGTCATTGGACCTTCTGTTAATTGGTAGTTGTATGGTAAGTCATTTTCTCAGCACTAAAATGTTTGCTCTGTCTAAGTTGTAGGTCATTGTGAGACTTGAACGAGATAATCAATATAAAGCAGAACTCAAAAGGAAGGCTTCATAAAGGAACTGCTGCAAACAAACAAATGAAACAAAATCATACCATAGAATGCAGGGTAATATAAATTTTATTAGGAAAGACTAGGTAGGGAGACAATTAAAAGCGATCACAAAAGAGTTTAGTAATCTGGCAGAAGTTACTAAATAAAATGCATATATCTAAAAGGATGATCATTATAGAGAGTTTTATATACAGTCATAAGAATTTTTTTTTAAGTTCCACAGGGGCAAAAGCTGATGATCACTTCCTGAGGCTGAGACCATGTATCCATATCAATTAGGTGGAGCTGACTGACCACCATCTGGTACATTAATCCAGAGGAAATAAAGAAGAATAAAATTAAAGAAAAGTAGACTGTATACCTTCAGTAGAATCCCAAGCATGGTAGAAAGAAGATGGTCACAAAGTTCTGTGTCAGAATGTTGTTTCTCAGAAAAGCTTAGCTGGACTCATTGCAGATTTGGCTACAGCAGCTGGACCCACTGCAGGTTGGCTGGCAACAGGGTGTGCTGCAGCAGCTGGTCACACAGGATGGTTGGCAGCAGGTGGGCTGGCAGCAGGTGGTTCTACAAGTGGTTTGACAGCATGTTGGGTGGCAGCAAGACTGGCAGTAGTTGGACCCACAGGTGGGCTGGTAGCACCTGGACCCACAGCAGGTGGGCTGGCAGCAGGATGTGCTGCAGCAGGAAGGCTAGCAGCAGCTGGTCACACAGGTGGGCTGGCAGCAGGTGGTCACACAGGTGGGCTGGCAGCAGGTGGTCCTGCAGCAGGTGTTTTGACAGCAAGTTGGGCGGCAGCAAGGCTGGCAACAGCTGGACACACAGCAGGAGGGCTGGCAGCAGGGTGTGCTGCTGCAGCTGGTCACACAGGTGGGCTTCCAGCAGGTGGTCTCACAGCAGGCTGGGCGGCAGCAGGGCTGGCAGCAGCTGGATCCACAGCTCTGGTTTAGGCAACCAGGCAGGCAGACACACGTGGGGTGGTAGCAGGTTCTCGTGCAGTACACAGGTGCACAGGAGCTGGTCTGGCCACAGCTGGTTTGGCCACAGCAGCTGGACCCGCAGCAGGTGGGCTGGCAGCAGGGTGTGCTGCAGCAGGAAGGCTGGCAACAGCTGGTCACACAGGTGGGCTGGCAGCAGCTGGTCACACAGGTGGGCTTCCAGCAGGTGGTCCTGCAGCAGGTGTTTTGACAGCAAGTTGGGCGGCAGCAAGGCTGGCAGCAGCTGGACACACAGCAGGAGGGCTGGCAGCAGGGTGTGCTGCTGCAGCTGGTCACACAGGTGGGCTTCCAGCAGGTGGTCCTGCAGCAGGTGGTCCTGCAGCACATAGGCTGGCAGCAAGGGGAGCAGCAGTGGGTCATGGTGTCAGGGGTGGAGGGCGGGCTCCTGTTCAGAGGTGAGTTTCCCAGGATCTGATGACCTCCTCTAATCTGGATCTTTTATACACTGGTTCCCAAATTTGGGACCAATGAGCAGAATTTTCCTGGTTATTATTTATGACATTATTTTTCATGACCTATAGGGAATTGCCCCGGGAGGAAGTGTTTTTTAAGTGTTATGAGTCTTCTGAAAATAAATTATTGTTCTACTTAACAATAGAAAACCCATAAGAACTTATTTCCAGATGGGAGAGAGGTGATCAACATCAATAGCATCATTTAATTATAAAGTATATATTTTTATTTATTATTATTTTATTGTTATTTTAGAAACAAGGTTTTGCTCTGTCACTCAGGCTGCTGTGCAGTGGTGTGATCATAGCTCATCGTGGCCTTGAACTCCTGGACTCAAGCGATTCTCCCACCTCAGCTTCCCAGAGTGATGAGATTACAGGAATGAGCCACTGTGCCTCCCCTGAACTGTCATTCTTTAAGACAGTGTACATTGACTGATCCCTGACAACTGACACTAACCTGAAGAGGCCAGAACTATTGTCACCACCTACTTTTTCTGTCCAGCACTAGAACATGTTGATTAAGTCAAGGTGACAAATGTAAACCATATTTTAAAATATTTTGAGTTACAATTTATATTTTATGAAATTTTTCATCTGTGTCACACAAACACAGATTCAGTGATGGTAATTCTAATAGTAACAGCAACTCCACTTGGGTGTCCCATTCCCTGCAACGAGGGACTGGGCTCAATTGTAATTGACATAATCTTTTCCATGCTGAGCTCCACATCTGTTGATGGCCCTGAGTACAAACATACCTGGGTACATCATGTTTACATTTAGAGGTGAAAAGAAAAGTTTAAAAACAGTTAGTCTGACAACTAAAATATTTTGCTTTGAATCTGCAGTTGAAAAATACAAACACCATTTTGTGTTTTAAATGCAGGAACAAAAGGGACGAGAATGACTCCATCATGTGTATTAATGGGGAAAAGACAGAAAAAGTTGCACAATATTTTGGATGCTTAGCAATTTCCACATCTGGCTTATCTTTGGAAATAGTCTCTTATTTTCACTGGCAACAAAATGGTCTTTTGATACAACTTGATTTGTTCTGACTAAAATTGTGGCTAGGAATTTCTGCCATCTCTGCTGCTGAGGCAACCTGACCTTAGGTGCAAAGGTGGACACAGCCCCTGTTTGCTGGTCCAGTATATGGGTAATGGCATTGCCAGTTCATCCTGTAAAGTGATCTGGTGCAGTTCATTGAGTCAAAATGAAGTTATAGTGAAGGAAGGGATGGTGCAGAGTATTTTTTGCTTGTGTCTCCATCCCGAGAATGGGTCTGGCACGTAGTAGGAACAAAAATATGGTTATTGAACGAAGAACTGTACATTTACTAGCCTTTTTTTTTTTTTTTTGAGATGGAATCTTACTTGCCTCACTCTGTTGCTCAGGCTGGAGTGCAGTGGCGTGATCCTGGTTCACTACAACCTCTGCCTCCTGGGTTCTAGCGATCCCCCTGCCTCAGCCTGCTGAGTGGCTGGGACTGCAAGCATGTGCCACTATTCCAGGCTAATTTTTTGTATTTTTACTAGAGATGGGCTTTCACCATATTGGCCAGGCTGGTCTCAAACTCCTGACCTCAGGTGATTCACCACCTGCCTCAGACTCCCAAAGTGCTGGGATTACAGGCATGAGCCACTGCATCAGCCCTAGCTTGAAAATTTGAACTAACAACCATTTGTAATAGAACTGGAGAATTAGGACATTGGTTTGGAAAAGAAACAGAATGAGTAATTCTATTGTGAACAAGTTAAATTGGAAGCCATGTGCCTTAAATATGTTTTAGCTTCTTCATAATTTGCAAGTGTGCTAGGGTCTGATTTTTTTGGTATTAATTTCCGACAGAAAATTAAATGGTTGGAACACAAAAGAATGACTTGTCCTATGCTCAGAATATCAAATAACACTCTGAAAAGAATACGAGAGAATGGATGAGATGATACTAAAACAAAAAAGGAAGAAAAATGGTGCCTTTAGGGATAACTAGCTGATTAAATGAAAATTATCTTTAAAAACCAAGGCTAACTGTCACAATGTCATGCTTCAGTCAGAATATCTGATAATTTCTCTTTAAGTAAGATAAACAATATCAAGAAAATAACCCAGGGCATGGTGATGGCAAGTCCTCAGCAGAGTAGAGAAGGAAGCTAGGAAGGAAGAAGGCTTATGAACTCTAGTACATTATGCTACTGAAAACCCACACCCAGAATCTCCACTGTTGTCAGCTCCTGCTGTGGCTCCTTCTGCTCCCACCAGAGGCGTGGTTAAGACCTCTGCCAAGAGATCTGCTGCTGTTCCAGCTTCTGCCAGACCCCATGCTGCAGGACCACTTGCTGTGGCCACAGGTTCTGTGGGTTCAGTTGCTACCATCCAGTCTGAGCCAGACCACCAATCTCCTGTGGATCCTCGTGTTGAATTTCATTCCTGACCACCAGCCTGAATCAACCACCATGTTGAAAACACAGTCCTTTTAAGGAGAAGGGGTATCTCTAAGCTGTCTTCCCTGCGTTCAGACAGAGAGGGCTAACTAAACAAACAAATGACCATAGAACCGTGGCTCAATTAGACCAGAATCCCAAGCCTATGATACCTGTACTTGCTTTGACCTTGATAGTGACTTCCTTATGATACATTAATTATGTCCGCAAAAATATTAATATTCTTATTGTCATAGGCAGTTGGGCCACATTCAAACTAAGTACAAAAAACCTATTATAAATAGACAAGAAAATGATAGAACCTCAATCATAGCAGACACTTTAACACACTATTTCAAAAACGGTCATTTGAAGAAGAAAAATAAGGATATGGGGAATCTGAGTAAAATCATTATCTAGATGCAATGGATATTTTTATGCCATCTTATGCCTAATAAATTTAATTTTCATAATTTTCATATATACCCCCAAATAGTTATAAAATATGTCCATAAAAATATTCTAAATATGTTCTTGTATCCTTCCTTCCACCCCCTCTTCCCTCTTTCCTCTTTCCTGAATAATTCAGACTAAAGGGAAAGTGGGTGTCCACCTGGGATAGGTATGGCCTAAAGAAATAACATTTTAAATTTCTTTTTAAAAAATTAACATAAGCTTGAACTTATAGAAAAATTGCAAGAATAGGTCAAAGAGGTTTTTTCTTTATGATAAAAAGAAAGTGATGCTTCACGGCCTCTAGGCACTAGTGTGTGTTTCCTCCATCAAAGGCTTTCCCCTCCATAACCGCAACAGAATTTAAAATCAGGCTTTCACTCTTGCAAACAATTTTGCAAAGAATATCCTTGAACTTATATCTTGGAGCATATGTATAGGTGCATCTGTGGGATACATTTCAAGAAGTGAAACTGCTCAATCAAAACACATGCACCTTTCAAAATATGGTAAATTAATTTAAGATACTGTTACATTTAAGATTCTGTTAATTACTATCTAAAGAAGTTGCCTCAACTTAGATCCTTGCCAAATGTGTATTAAAATGTCAATTTCCTTAGACTTTCACTAATTTATTAAAGTTTTTAAACTTAAATATTTTACATTTGTCATTACAAATGCAAGTATTCACTGCCATATCCCCAGAGCATACAGTAGAACCTGGCACACTGTAGGTATTCAGTAGATGGTTTGATTAATGAATAAATTGTTCAATTAAAATGCTTAAATTATGAGTGAGTCTAAGTATCTTTCAAAAGCTCAAAATGCATTTAAATTTCTTTTTTTAGTGAAATGATTATTCATATCTTTTACTCAATTTTCTGTTTGGTTGTTAGTTTTTTCTCATTGGGTTGTAAGAGGTATTCGTGCATTAAGAAAATTAGCTCATTTATTTTTAGATTGGCTAAGATGTTATTATTTGTTTCCAATTTGCCTTTTAGCCTTCTTTTTCAATCAGGCATTTAAATTTTTTTCTGTTGTAATTTTTTTCAATCCTTTTCTTCATTGTCATTAAGTTTTTCTGTATTGAAATCCACTCCACTTCTAATATTTTAAGACAATTTCTACTGTTTTCTTCTAGTAGTTTCACAGTTTCTTTTTCTCAGAAGAAACTTTAGGAAACAAGAAACATCATTTGAGGACTGGTGTGAGACACAAAGTTTTCAGGATGACACGCAGAATGCTGAGTTCCAAGTGACAGCCTGTCACCTGACAACCGACTGGATGAGTAAGATGACAAGTCTTTGAAATTAGACAACACATATAAGAAGACGAGGGAGGAGGAAAGACTGGATTGGCTAAACCCTAACACAGAGAAACAATTAAAGTACATTCTTTTTTACAGATTTTCCCCACAATTAACTAACTTGATAATTGTATATCTATTAAGATAAACAATAACAAGGAAATAGCTTTTACGTTGTGACATCAGTCCCTCCACTGAGTATAAAAGCGGACATGGGATAAGGGGACTCCCACATTTGGAAAACTTACCATCTTGGAAACCTACCCAGAACCCCCACCCTCTGACACCATGGTTAGCTCTTGGGGCTCTTTCTGCTCTGACCAGGGCTGTGATCAAGGCCTCTGTCAAGAGACCTGCTGCTGCCCCAGCTGCTGCCAGACCACCTGCTGCCGCCCATCCTGCTCTCAGACTACCTGCTGCCAGACCACTTGCTGTCGCCCCAGCTGTGGTGTGTCCAGTTGCTGCCGCCCAGTCTGCTGTCAGACCACTTGCTGTCGCCCCAGCTGCTGCCGCCCAGTCTGCTGTCAGACCACTTGCTGTCGCCCCAGCTGCTGCCGTCCAGTCTGCTGTCAGACCACCTGCCGCCCCAGCTGTGGTGTGTCCAGCTGCTGCCGTCCACTCTGCTGCCAGACCACCTGCCTCCCCAGCTGTGGTGTGTCCAGCTGCTGCCGCCCAGTCTGCTGTCAGACCACCTGTTGCCGTACAACTTGCTGCCACCCCAGCTCCTGTGGGTCCTCCTGTTGAACCTCATATTGGACTATCAACCATAAGCCAGCTACCATCATATCAATATGAAAGTGTCATTCATACTGACTTGTCCGAGTGCTAAATGGCGATCATCTTTATTATCTTGTTATCCCACTAAGCAGGTGATGAAAGGGCATCTATCTACATTTAACACCACTCATTTTTCCTGTGGGTCTCTTTCTAGCATTCAGACCTCAAATGCATGATGCAGTGAGACTAAACCTCTGAGTCTCTGACTGTTACACTTGCTTTGACCTTCAAAATTACATGTTAACTGTTCTTCAATAAATGTTATCTTAATATCAGAAATTATTTTCTCTTTTTTCAATTATTTTTGAGAATTGGTTGTCATTTTATTTTTCAGCATTATTTCTCTCAAGACAAAGACAAGTTTCAGTTTCTATGGCTAGGAAGGAAAACTGATTTTGTAAATATAATCTAATGCCTGTATTATAGAAAAGACTATTAATTTTTCGAAGTAAGATAACTCACTGTATTTAACTAATGAAAATTTCTTATTCAATCAATAAAATGATTGATCGCCTGTCATGTTAATTGCACTGTTGGGCTCTGGAGATCACATCAAGATTTGTGAGGCCGCAGATCATATAATTATACCTACACTAATACCTAAAGTTAAATGCTACCTCAAGGCTTTATTATTCTGGAATCTTATCATCCCCATTACTCCTGGAAAGCTTAGTTCTGTAACAAAACTTACTATCACAAATTTTGCCTTTATGAAACAGACACTACTAAATTTCTCATTGATGCTGGTGACTCTCTTACCTGCTCATTCTTTACTGCCTTAGTAAATAGAGTATCTCCAAGGCTCACCCTGGAAACACAGTCAGCTGCTTGGCCTTAAGACCAGAGCTATTTTAGTACTTCCACTTCTCTGTGCCTTTTGATCTCTTCTTCTTCCATGGGCTGTTACCAGAGAAATCTATACTAGTTATCTACTGTTGCCTTATATTATCACTTCACAACTTAGCAGCTTAAAACAACACACATTATCTCACAGTTTCTTTGGATCAAGAATTCAGGCATGCCTTACCTATGTTTTCTACCTCATAGTGTTTTCCAAGGCTGTAATCAAGGGGTCCGCTGTCACTAGAGTCTCATCTAAAGCCTCAACTAAGAAGGATCTGCATCCAGGCTCAAGTATGTGGTTGTTGACAGGATTCAGCTCCCAAGGACCATTGGAAGGAGCCTCGGTTCCTTGTAGGCTGTTGGATGGAGGCTGTCTTCAAGTTGTTCCCACATGGATCTCTGTCTCTCATAGCAGCTGGCTTCATCAAACGCAATGAGAGACAGCATGAGAGCAAAGCGGAGTTGGCCAACAAGAAGAAAGTGACAATCTTTTGTACAATAACTTAATCATTCAATGTACCATATGCTGTTGGCTAGAAGTAAGTTACTCAAAGGGTTGAAATTACATAAGACCATCAACACTAGGATGTGGAAATAATGGGGCTAACTTAGAGGCTGCTGCCCCAGCTCTTGCACAATATTGAGCAAGATAATCAAAACACAAAATACACGTAGTATGAATCCATTTATATTAAATTTTAAAATGTGGAAAAATATACTGTATTTTTAGGGATGCATGTCTAGGTTGAAAAACTATAAAAAATACAGTAGAAAGATTTATAATCAGAATAGTGATTACCTCTAGAATGGAGGGAGGGAAGGAGATACAGTCAAGAAAAGACATACAGGAGCACATCTTATTTGATGACAAGATTCTACTTCTTGATAAAGGCTTTGGGTACATACATGCTTGCTTAATAACTATTAATTAATATATGTATTTTATTCATTTCTAGTATATATGTGTTTTTCATTTAAAACATTTTTTAAAATTTAAGTGAACTGAAATACTTATCCTGTTTAAAAGTCATGATTAGATGAAGCAGTGATTAAAGATAGTTTAGAACAAGGAGATATTTCATGAATGGCATATGGGTATTTATATTATTTTAAATATTGCTCTAATTACAAATACCACTTCATACCAAGTCTCTAAAAAAGGCTCACAGCTCCACATGGCTGGGGAGGCCTCATAATCATGGCAGAAGGTAAAGGAGGAGCAAAGGCACCTCTTACATGGCAGAGGGCAAAAGAGCAGGTGCAAGGGAACTGGTCTTTATAAAACCATAAGATCTCATGAGACCTCCTCACTATCATGAGAACAGCATGGGAAAAACAAGCCCCCATGATTCAATTACCTCCTGCCAGGTCCCTCCCATGACACTACGACACCATGACACATGGGGAGTATGGGAGCTACAATTCAAGATGAGATTTGGGTGGGGACACAGCCAAATGATATAATTCTCTATCTTGATAGCTATGGGAGTTACATGGATGTATCCATTTATAAAACTCATCAAATAGTACATTTAGGATTTGTTCATTTTAGTGTATGTAAATTTTATAATATAATAAAAATAGATACAAACTAAATTAAAATATTTATGAATAAATCCACAAAATTGTCATGTTTGATAATTTGCTCTGAGTCTTTAATTAAACTATGATGAGCTCCTTTGATGTTACTTTACCACAGTATAATACAGTTTGTGTGTGTGTGTGTGTGTGTGTGTGTTCCTTCCTGTAAACCATGAACTCCCCTGAAGGAAATCAAATTTGTTATCCCAATGGCTGGCAACTTGAATCTCTCAGATTATCCATTTAACATCTCTTTTCTATAAACAAAGCAGGACCTGGAGCCAGGTGCTTCTGTAAATCTTGAATGAACAGAATAAAGCAGGAGGTGTCTGTGTGTGGTCACTGAACCCTCAAGTAGGCCTCGTAAACTGTGTTTTGACAAGCCCTCCAGGTGACTCTGAGGCATGCCTGAGTTTGTCCACTACTAATTAGAGGATAAGGCAAAATCTTCATTCAGTAAGCTGGAATTTGCTCAAGTCTTCCAACATTTCAGATTGATCGAAAAAAATGAGTTTTGTAATTTCCCAGCACTGGAACTCAGTTCTGATACCATGCCAGTTCTGATCATTCAATATTTTTGCTGTAATGAAGAATATTCAAAATTTAAAATGAAAGGAGGAATAAAAATGAGGTTATGTCTTCTAGAGTCCAAGAGACCAGCTGGAGAGACGTGACAGAAACTTGTAAGACGCCAAGTAGGAACTTAAGAAACTGTGACCTTTTAGTAACACCAGCTATCCAGATAAATAGCCTACCAGGATTTAAGGATATAGGACAGGACCCAAAGTTTGAAACACCCAGGGAAACCCCTTCCGGTGTAGAGGCTGTCAAGGTCAAATAGAGGAAGAGCTCTCTCTTTCCTCATTGCTCAGAATGACACACAAAATAGGACCTTTTCTTCTTGTCCCAGGCCAGTTGCCACACTGAGCAGAGGGGCTTTCCTCTCCCTTGGTCATTGGAAGAAATGCATAATTGGTAGTGTAACTGACTAAATCTCATTCTGGCAGGGAGTACAGGAAAAGAGAGTAAGAAATGTAATTCCAAATGCAAAGTATCATTTGACCTGTGCGGAGGAAGAGGAAGATAATTTGGTTTAGAATATGCCATCAAGGTGAGAATCAAGGAAAAGTAGATGGTATAGATCTTGTTACATCTGGACAAGAATATTTTCTTCCCAGTGATTTAAAACCATTAAATGGACAAATATTATTGTGTAGTCTGATAATTATTTAGCAATTAAAGAAATAAAAACAAGAAAAAGATAGTGACAACAGGAAACTGG